CCAAACTTATGTCTCCATGTTTTTTTCCTCCTCTTCTCCTGACTTGGCATCACTGAGAACTAAAAGCTAACTACCCAGATCCTTACTGAGATTCTAGATTGTCCTATAGCTGAACTTTCCTCTCAGACTCTAAAGAAACCCTGAGAGCTGAAGCTGGACATCTTTTTTTTTTTTTTTAAAGATTTTATTTATTCATTTGAGACACAGAGATACAGAGAGAGAGAGAGAGAGCATGAGCAGGGGCAGAGGCAGAGGGAGAAGCAGGCTCCCTGCTGAGCCAGGAGCCTGATATGGGGCTCGATCCCAGGACCCTGGAATTATGACCTGAGCCAAAGGCAGATGCTTAACCATCTGAGCCACCCAGGTGCCCCAGAAGCTGGAAATCTTGATATTGGCTTCAAAGGACTTGTCAGCACAGTGAATTATGTATGGACAACCTGCATGCCTGGAGCTGCGCCTATAAGGGCCACTCAGTAAGTTCCCTGGAAGTCCCACAGCTTTTATGCTCTGTTCTAGGAAATAGCTATGATGGTGGACAATCTATAAAACCTCTCTGATGTCTGTGCTGTCACCCCAAATATTCAAATATTCATAAAATGGCCACTGCCATTGTCACTTCACCGTCTAAAGATATTTCCAGCCCAACCTCTAGGAATCTTCTTCATTGGCTGCCCTCTGGACTCAGAAACTGGGTTTATACAAATGGCCTTGGCATTCTCCTTAAGGTTGACTAAAGGATTAGATGGGTTTCTTCCTGATTATAGGCCTGAACAGCCCCGTCAGTGTCCCCCAGTACCTTAACACTAGCTCACCCCAGTGATTAAAATCTTTGCTGCCTTTTGACTCAGCGGAGTTGACTTCAGTCTCTCTCCCCTATTTCAATAGTCTTGAATATAGTCTTCCTTGCCTATGAAGGTATCCGGTGCCTTTTTTTTTTTTTTGAAAATACTCACAGCAACATGAACACACAGAAGGGTTTGGATGCTCACATACTTTATCATTCAGTCACTCCAGTTGTGTCCTTTGGTAATTTTCTGTGTGGGTTTGTCATTATGGGCAACTAAGTTTCTTACATGGAAAAGAAGAGCCAGCAGAACAGTATGTCATGTTATTTATAGATCACAGAAGCAAAGTCATTCTTGAAGGGAAGAAGAAACCCTCCCTGTCTTCAATGTGAAGACATTTCAGTCAGTAAGACTTAACATTATGTGTCCTCCTCCCTCATATTCTAATACAAAGTTTAGAAAGCAGTAGTTAGGCAGTTTTATGTCAGATAAATAGTATACCTACAGCTCATTATTGACAGCATTCATTAAAAACGTAAGACCCTTTACAGAAATTGTAACTGGTCCCTCGTTCCTAGCATTCAATTATCATTTCTAAAATCTGAAATCAACATATTTTATGTCTAAATTGCGAGTACATTTGAAAATCTAAATTCAAAGGCATGCCTTCTAGTGGGCTGACTGAAGGGAAAGGTCTGTGATTATGCCTAATTTTCACCTTCTATATTACGATCTCATTGATTATGTTTCTCAGTTTGCTAAGGGTTCTGTGAGGTGATTTTCAAGATAAATATTGCTATTTGCAGGATTTCCTGAATAGGAATATTTCGGGAGTAAATTGCACAAGCCAAGTGATGTGCAGTCAGTTTTCACTCCAGCATAAACAGTGTACTAGAACAGAGCCCTTAAGGCTTTTTTTAATTTGGGTTTCACTTCACCAATAAGCATGAAGTGCCAAGCGGGCAAAACTGAGGCCCACAGAGGTACTACATATTTTTCTTCCAGGTGCTCAGAGTTTGACGAGAGAAAACAAATGACCCGGATGACAAGGCCTTAGGCTCTTTGTTTCAGAGGTAGCCATGGCCACCATGGACAGACAAAGACAATTTCTTTACATTTAGGAATTGGAGGCTCCTTGTGCATCTATTTTCTTTGCATTCATTCATTCATTCCTAAGAGCTTAGAAAGGAGTTTCTTTCTCTGTGTTAAAAAAAATGGGCATGTCCACAAAAGTGTTTGAAAACTATTTTTGGTTTTCAGTAGTTTAAAATCCATTTTCCCGTCTTTCTTTAACTGAAAAAAGAAGTTTAATCTCTTTAAGTAGAGGGCTATAGCAGGTCGTACAGACTAAAATCACATACCTTATAGTAGAAAAACTCTGAGCAATCTTAATAAATCATTTATTAAACAGTGAATTTAGATAGACGCTAGACAAAGAGGGATAAAGGACTAGGTAAGTTAGTAAATTATTCACACAGGTCGCTATTTCCTGATAACAAGCTAGGGGTCTGAGAATTATGGTGAGAATGTCTCAAGTCATCATATATATGATTTTACGATCTTTTTTGCCTTGGATATAGCCACAGAGAAGAAGAAAAAGGCTAAGGGAATATTTTTGAAATCTGCACTCCAGAGATGAGAAACTCAGAATATGCACAGAGGACTGAAGCCAAGGAATTTTACTGCCAGGGAAAAAGCAGCTGCCTCTCCCCTCAGTGATTTAGACCAAGCTGCAGGAGGCAAATATCATGACTCTCAGAAAGTACACACAGCAGTGACAGTGGGGACTTGTAGCTTTGATAAAGCAAAGTGATTAACACAGCTGAGAGGAGCTTTCACTCTAAACTACAGGAAACTATTTGGCATGGATGTATGGGCCATGGACAAACAAATGCCCAATGCAAGTTTTCCACTTTTGGGAACCATTGTCGGGGGAGTGGGTGAGACTGGGACTAAAGTCACTTTGGTTGAGTCAACAGCATCCCTTTGTATCAAAGGATTTTGTTATCCTTCCTATCAAATGTATTCCATGTACAGAGATAGCTAATATTGAATATATATTTTCTTTACTTAAATGAAGCAGCTCATTTTAACTAAAGATTATATTTAAAAGTAAAGGAATGTGTTTTTACCTGTGAGTTACAGAAAGCTCCTTCTGATTGGGAAGAAAGAGTTTATGGCCTTCCTCTTTATAATACTAAATCAAGAAATATTTAAGATTATGCTAGATCCAACAGAATCTGGCTGAGGTTATTGTTTGTTGGACTAAGTAACTGTACTTCTTTGTTGAGATTACTGACTCCTGAAAAATGAGCATCTAGGAAATGCAGTTGCACTGGAGAATGCACCCCAGCCAAATATCAATTAAGGACACTGTGCTAGCAAGGTGAAAACACTGAAGGCATTCCAGGACTGGTGGCTTCCCCGAAAGATGATATGGCTTTGTCCTCACCCAGTCTTGTCCCCATGACTACACCTAACCCAAATGCAGGGTGAGTGGTTCATCAGAAGCCAGGGCTTGGTGTCAAGACCTCTACTGTGTCACCACTGTGCCAGGTGTGTTGTTCCTTGTCCTGTATACTTTCATAAAGCCAACTAAATTTGGTTTGGGTAAAGCCTACTGTGACTTGACTTTAATCGTCAGACTTGAACGGAAGACCATGCCACTGGATGAACAGCCTGGGTTTTGCAGTGGTGAAATGATGTCTATCTGCGATGTACATGGGATCATCTGTGCTCAGGGGGCAGCTAACAGAATGGTGGATATACATGTCAGGAAGAGGTAAGGTGAAAGTAGTGGAGTGTGCTTTGCAAATATAACTCATTTTAGTTGTTCCCAACCTCCCTCCCTCTCTCCCTCTCTCTCTCTCTCTCTCTCCCCTTAACCTCACTCAAGCCCATCTTTCCCACACTTGGACTTTCTCTCCTCTAGAATATCTTCACACTTTATTTTATCCTTGCCTTATCTCCCAGCAAAACAGCACCTACGAGGAGATAAAAAAAAAAAAAAAACATGAGGTTGTGATAACCTTGGAAAGCAAGCAAATTGAAAAATCAGGGTCAGTGAACTAAAAGAAAAACTTTACTCAAGATGTTACTTAACTTATTTAGTCTGAAAGTGCCCATCCTTACATTAATCAAGAGGTTGAGATTTCAATTTCATTGGTTTATTTGATTAGCTGTTTAATGTTATTGGCCCAAAGGAGATGCAAAGCAGGGCATCAAGTTGGGATAAGTCTTTGGAATATGCTTCTGGGAGGAAAGAGACGATAGGGACAATCCATGTCTACAGGGACCCTAAAACAAGAAGACAGTGGCGTCCAATTGGCATGCTGGTCTAGAGCACTAGGTTTACCTGTGGCATCTCATTACCATTCTCGGTGTCTCATTACCACCTTTATTCTTTTATTCAAAAATGCAAGTACCCTTCAGTCACTGGTCCTGAGATGGGGGTGTTCAGAAAGGAGGGGAATGAGGCAGGTAAGTAAGAAGATGCCCTCTGTATCCAAAGAAGAGTGTGATGAGGTACTCAGGTCTGTAAAATTTAAGTGTAAATCAATGTACAAAGGTTACCGGAAATGGACACAGAGGTTTATAAGAAATCCTAAGAGGGTTTTTTATTCTACCTGGGGTATGGAAAAAAGTTTTGAAGAAGTAGACATTGAATTCAGTCTTGAAGGATATAGAAAAGTTCATCATGCCAACAAAGGAGAAAGAAGTAATTTGAGGAAGGGCGATCAAGAACACAGACATGGCATGAAACCACACATATATAAACATAACATATAATTTGTTGTAGTTAGAATATAAAGGGAGGTTGTTGGCAGAATAAAAGGATACAAAGGTAAACTGGAGTCAGTCTGAGAGAGTTTTCTAATATTTACTAAAGAGCCTATACTTTATTTGGTAGGCACCTAATCCCCTAAACAACTTTAGTTTTAGATAAGGAGTCTACAAACATGTATTGACTGCAATTGAAGTAGGGATGGGAAACAGGTCATAATAACACAGATGATGAAGGCATTCTAAGAGTGATAAGAGCTTAATGAATACATTATTGCTAGTAAGTGCTGTAAGACAACACAAAAATGCTAGTCAATTTATTATTATTATTAACATTATAACAACAATGATGATTATGATAATGGACGAAAAACTTAGTTCAGTGATATTGCCATTTTTTGTAAAACAATATTTAAAGCAAAAAGTCCCTACCTTAATGTCAAATGGTTCCGTTTGATTCGGCTGATTGTAAATTTCCAACTGATTCCGAATAGGAGACAGCCACAGAAGCAGATGATTTAACTGCTCTTCCAGCTGCCCAAGGTCTTTTATGTATGCTTCAATTTCTCCTTGTTTCTCAGGCAAATCTCTAGAAACCTGCAAGGAAAAAAGAGGAAAAGATTCCCATGGTTTAAATAAAAAAGCAAAAAATAAATATATTCTAATGTTATTTGCTTTAAAATGTTACGGAAATTTACTGAATTTGGTATTTTACAGGACGATATGGATTACTCACATGGGTTACATGTTAGGATTTAATTCACATATTACAATCATTTATTAATAGTCTTCCCCCAAATCATATGCTTTAAAGACAATAAGTATTTTTTTTTGGAAATTCAAAACACACACTCACACAAATCCATACCCAACTCCAACCAATAAAAGTAAAGAAGTATATTCATTTACAATACATACAATACATAATGATGTATTGCATACTAGATGCCAGATACTCTGCCTTTATACTTCCTTCTAACTTTCTGTTAAGGAAAACTGTACAAGGGAATTCTTTTATGCACAAAATAAAATGGGAAGGTAGGCTATAGTTTGTGGGTCAAAGTATAACCAAGTAAAACAAAATAAGATGATTGGAATGAAAAGAAAAAAAAAGACATTTGGATTAGAGTAGAATATATCAGTATGATTACAAGCTATTTTTATTAAGGGCTTACAATGTGCCAAATACCATGTTAGGAAGTTTCACATTTACAGCCTTCTTTAATCCACCCAACAATCCTATGATACACATACTATTCTTTTCCCCATTTTATAAATGGATGATGACATTGGGGTTGAGAAACATGAAATACCTTGGGAAGGAGTAGGATACTCTGTTCAACATTGTGAAGTCTAGAGTTAGGCTGCTTGGTTTAAATCTTAATTCTAGTTCTTTCCCAGCACTTTAGCCAAGTTTTCTTTAATTCTCAGTGCCTTCTATACAGAATGCGGACAATGACCATATCTGCTTCACAGGGTCACTATATGGATTAAATAAGGTAATTCATGTAAATAGCTGAGAGCAATATCCTGCATGATAGGGAATGACAATAAAGCCATTACATGTTAGTGATTATGGCTTGAGCTCAAAGTGTAAGTAGGGAGCCAGGATAAGCAAGAGAAGAAGTAGACACTGAATTCAGTCTTGAAGGATATAGAAAAGTTCATCATGCCAACAAAGGAGAAAGAAGTAATTTGAGGAAGGGAGATCAAGAACACAGACATGGCATGAAACCACACACATACAAACCTAACATAATTTGTTGTAGTTAGAATATAAAGGGAGGTTGTTGGCAGAATAAAAGGATACAAAGGTATCCTTTGTATCTACTTCTATTGTCAAGGGCCAAAACAGGCACACAGTAGTAAAGAATGTGAACCTGTAATGGCAACTCTTTATGATATGATTAATACTATTCTAATAATATAAATATAACATTACAACATGAACACACATGCTACAACATACATCTGTTATAAGATAATATGTTATTATAGATAACATTTTAAAATTTTAATTCCAGTACAGTTAACACGCCATGTTATATTAGTTTCAGGTGTACAATATAGTGATTCAGCACTTCCCTACAACACCCAGTACTCATCACAACAGGTGCACTCCTTAATCCCCATCACCTGTTTCACCCATCCCCTGCTCACCTCCCCTCCGGTAACCATCAGTTTGTTCTCTACAGTTAAAAGTCTGTTTCTTGGTTTCTCTTTTTCTTTTGCTTGTTTGTTCTATTTCTTAAATTCTACATAGGAGTGAAATCATACAAATCATATTTGTCTTTCTCTGACTTATTTTGCTTAGCATTATACTGTCTAGCTCCATCCACATCATTGCAAATGGCAAGATTTCATTCTTTTTTATGGCTGAATAATATTCCATTGTGGTGTGTGTGTGTGTGTGTGTGTGTGTGTGTGTGTATACATACACACATCTACTTATCCATTCACCTTTTTATGGACACTTGGGCTCTTCCATAATTTGGCTTATTGTACATAATGCTGTTATAAACATAGGAGTGCATGTATCCCTTTGAATTAGTGTTTTTGTATTTTTTGGGTAAATACTCAGTAGCACAATCACTGGATTGTAGGATAGCTCTATTTTTAAGTTCTTGAGGAACCTCCATACTGTTTTCCAGAGTGGCTGCATCTGTTTGCATTCCCACCAACCGTGCAAGAGGGCTCCTTTTTCTCCACATCTTCACCAATATTACAGAGAGTATTTAAAAAGTAAACTAGATAAGTATACTAATATACTAGTGCATCATCTAAATAATGCCCCATACTTTGGAACATCTGCTTTAGATACTTTTCAAAGAACTAACTGAAGAACATTATGTTCCTTAATTGCACCTAAGAGGTATGAGGAGAAAGGGAGATACATTAATGGACAAAATAACTCATCAGTTACAGGAGAAGGAATTTTATATAAGCTCTAATTATATGTAAACAATATGTATTTGAAACCTATAAAGGCATTTATATATATTGTGTAAAATGCATGGGTGAACATTTAGCCTGTACTGATGCATTCCAGCCTGAGACTGACCTTAGGGTCCCACAACAATGTTTCCTTGGAATGCTAACTTTAAGATGATTGGGAAACATTAGGCCTGCACTGTTTGTTGTATGGAACTGTATCTGCTTTGGGAAAGCTGTGAATTGGAATATAACCTATGGCTTAGATGACTAAAAATTGTGTAAAAGATGGAAAGGAAATAGAGCCTGTGACTTCTATTTATTTTTTAAAATTTAAAAAAAAATTTTATTATGTCATGTTAATCACCATACATTACATCATCAGTTTTTGATGTAGTGTTCTATGATTCATTGTTTGTGTATAACACCCAGTGCTCCATTCAATACGTGCCCCCTTTAATACCCATCACCAGGCCAACCCATCCCCCCAACCCCCTCCCCTCTATCTAAAGTGACCTGCGCAGACCTTGGTGTTCACCCCTAGCAGCCTTTCCCTCTGTGGGTAAGGAGTTAAAAGAAGCAACGTGTGCAGGGAGCATGCAATGCTTGTTCACGGATAATGAACTGTGATGCTGTATCTGCTCTGTTTGACTTGTAGCCTGCTATAAAGTCAGGTAAACAAAGTATTAGATAAAGACCTATTTGTGTTTCGTGAGTTCTAACCCATAATGACATCTATGGTGATGGACAACGTATTTGTGTGTGCGTGTCTGAATATTTGTGTGTCTGTGTGCGTGTGTGCGAGAGAGAGAGAGAGAGAGTTGATATCACAAATGTAATTCCAGGTCTATAATACAGAATCTAATAATGCTTTCTACTTACCTTTTCCAGCATTTATAAGGAAGTTACTAGTTTATTTTTATTGGATTATTTTCTAGTCACAAGTACATGTGAAAAATATTTTACAGCTTCAACTTGTAGCATCTAAGAGCCTCTAGATTCTGAAGTTAATGGAAATGGCAGCCATCATATTTTCTTAAAATCTCTAAAACTGAGCTATGAACTCATTTATATCTGATCACAAATAGGGTTCACATATCAACACAGAAACCCAGGTAACTTTCAACTGAGAGTGTTAGTCTCCTTCTCACACTCGCAACCCATCCTTTCCTGGTTCTAGAGGTAGAACAATTCCAGATAGCAAACAGTTCAATGGGTGAGATTTGACTAATAGATGAAAAAAATAAATGATAGCTCATGATGAGATTGTGGGACACGTGTAGTTTTCAGGTTAGTTATGACATCTGCATGGGATATATCCTCACAGACCCTGTGTTTCCCACCATCAGAGCATTTGCCTTATACTCTTTGTTATTCACACTGACTTCCCTCACTGAGCTTGATTTCTGGATGAACTGAGTTCCTGCACATGACAGGCTTTCAATAAATATCTGGTGAATGAAAGATAAACAATTTCAAAATTTAGGATTATTTTTTTTTTCAATTTAAGAAGGAACGCATGTCCAGAGTAGTCAACATAAAGAAGGTAATTTTATCCTCAAGTGAAATAGCCTTAATTAACAGACAAAGATATTAGTTGATTGGACTACATAGAAATGAGAGACTTTTGAATGGCAAAAAAAAAAAAAAAATCCCCTAAAAACAAAATCAAAGGACAAATGATAAATAGTGAAAAAAAATATTTGTGACTTCTAAGATAAGGGACTAATTTTCCTAAAATAGAAGAAACCTTCTGCAAATTAATTTTAAAAAGGCCAACAAGCCATAGAAAAACTGGACAGAAGTTAAGGACAGTCCACAAAAAAGAAAACATAAATGGATTTTAAGCATACATAAAGAAGCTAGACTGTTGTAATGAGAGATCCGAAAATTTGATCTATTGCACTGACAAAAATCCAAGTCTGAAACACACTATGCTGCCAAGGTTGTGGAAAATGCACGATTATATATGACCAGTGGGATAGACAAACTGTTGTATCCCTGTGGAAGACAATTTGGCAATATCTACAAAATGCATGTAACCTTATACCCAGAATTTTGCTGCTAGGAATTTATCTTGTAGACGTATTTAGGCAAGTAAAATCAATGTTTGGTGATGGTAGGGCAGATGGTCGATGTGGTAGAAGATTTTCACTACAGTTTTAAATTTTTGCAAAATATATTACCCTCACAGAGAAATAAATTAATTTAGAAAGGAAAACTACCAGCTTTTCTTCCTGCCAAAAATAATGGTGAGAATATATATGTTAATAACAAATCATTATTAATAGGATGTAACACATCTAAAGCCACCAGTTCAAAATTGTGATTATTTTCCTATGACAATGTAACTTAGTTAATGGGTAGCATTTGAGACCTTCTGACCTATAATTTTTGTGATTCCCCACACCTTCAGGAATTGATGGCTTCTATACAGTTCATGGAAAAAGATAACGTGAATAATTTATGATGTAGAATACGAGTAGGTTTCTTGTCAGTTTTTATGTGGCTTAAAATTATTTAGTATTATACTTACTACTTCATATTCTTATCAAAATATGTAAACAGTTAAATAGTAAAATGCATCATTTTCCCAATAATCTTTTTTTTTAAAGATTTTATTTATTTATTTGAGAGAGAGAGAGAATGAGAGATAGAGAGCACGA